ATTGTTGCCACAACATATTGCAAAAATTGTAAACATGATGTGTGTTTTCTTTTTAAACTGTAAAACTTTAATAAAATTTATTTTTAAAAAAGAAGAGTGGAAAGAGAGGAAAAGAAAGGGGAAAGAAAGAGGGGGAGAGGAGGAAAGGAAGGGGGAAAGAAAGGAAAACAGAAGGGAAGGGAAGGGAAAAGAAAGGAAGAGGAAAATGGAAGGGAAAGGAAAGGGAAGGGAAGGGAAGGGAAGGGAAGGAAGGAAAGGAAAGGAAGGAAAGGAAAGGGAGGAGGAAGAGAAAGAATGGGAGGGGGAGGGGAGGGGAGGGAGGAAAAGAAGACAGAAAGGAGGAAGGAAAAGAGAAAGAAGGAACAAAGGAAGGAAATCACTTTTGCATACTTGTGTTTGTAGTCACGGAAACTCAACCTTGTCTGAAGGACATCTCTAACGTTTTGGAGGGAAACAATGATCAAGCGAATCTCTTTTGGAGGTTGTTGCTATTGTTCTTCATAACGGGGACTATAATTATATGTCTAATCCTATAATGCCAGTCCTCTGGGTAGATTCCAATATTTCCTGAAACAATAAGAAAAACAAATGGCCCGAGAATATCATTAGTTAACACAACGCAGTGCAGTTAATCAATGGCCCAGAAAAGAGACAGCCCCACCCTCACACTTAACCACCGAAAGCAAAGCCACCCAGCAGGTCTTCACCTCGTCACCCTCTTTCTCAGCTTTTCCAGATACTTTGCAGTTGGACTCCCAGCCCAAGATGCTGACCATTGGGCAGCCAGCTCGCTTGCTGTGTTCCATGAGTCACGTCTACCCCCACGGTGCCCTTAGACTGAGCTGGTTCCAGGGAGATGAACAACTGGAGGCTTCCAAGGAGATGGAAGAGGAAGAAATGGAGGACTCAGAAGACCAGCTGTTTGTCTACCACTCTGAACTGGAGATCCCGAGGGTGGCAGAAGATGTAACTTACAAATGCAAAGCAACCCTGGAGGTAGAAGGGAAGATCTTTGTCCAGGAGAGGGTTGCTATCGCCATCGCCAGCCCAAAACGTAAGTTTCACAGGCAGTCAACTCTTTTCTCAGACTTTGAAATAGGGCCTGGGCTGTATTCAGGATTACAGGTAAATCTTTTCTTCGATAGTCGTTTTTATTCGTTTTCATTTTAAAATAAAAATACAGGGGAAAAAAAACTAAGAAAAAAGGCAAAGAGGGGAGGAAAAAGTTGATTTTTAAACTTTTTTTTTCCCAGTGCAATAAAATACAAAAAAGCACACACAACCTTAACCTTTGGCTTTAGATTTCTAACTAGTTTTCGACCAACAAAACCATCCTAATCATCAAAGTTTCAATTTTTTTCAGTTTCGAGCAAAAAGCTGAAAAACCTTTTCTGAAGAAAGCCAAAACTAAATATTTCTCTGTAATTAAAACAGTTTGACTATCTCCATAATTACAGGAAAATCTTGTACTTGGAGAACTTTTAAATATTTTCATTTTCATCCCCAATTTCATTAGTCAGTAACTTTCAAACTAAAATATTATTCGTGTACAATTTTTTCTTTGTTTTTTTAAAAGAGCCCCAAAATGAACTATATAAATCTAATTCAATTCTAGTTTTTAAGAGCTGGCAATTTCTTCAGCCCTGTTTTGGGGGCCTTGGCTTGGGGGCGGAAAGTGAAATAGTGACGTTTTGACTTTGTTGTAATGGGTGAGGCCAATCTTTCAGGTGTGTTTTGTGTCTAGGGCAGAGGTTTCCCAACTTGGCAACTTTAAGATTTGTGGACTTCAACTCCCAGAATTCCTCAGACAGCCATGCTGGTTGGAGAGTTTTAAGAGCTGAAGTCCACAAGTCTTAAAGTTGCCAAGTTTGGAGACCTCTGTGCTAGGGGATAAGTTGGATTTTCCCAGGCGAGAAAAACAAAACTATCTCAGGTTTTGCTGGTTTGTGGATGCCTTAATTTTAGGGAGATCATTTTACTAATAAAAACTTCCTTTCCTGTACATTCTGGAGATTTTTGGAGGCTGCCAATTGACTCCCGCCCGTCATCTAACAAAGAAGACCTAAAGTCTTGAAAAGATTTCTCTTAAACATTCTAAATATTTGGTTTACAGCTACGCAGGAGTTTCTCGGTGCTACTGAGAGCATCGCCCTTACTCCCACATCTGGAAGGACAAGTCCAACATCTGCTGCAGAGCAACTCACCACAGCTGATTGGAAGTCCTCAGTTGGGACAACCACCAGCCTTCTCCGACTTGTTTCCATGGAGCATACCAGCTCTAGGACAACTGTGGTTACACCAACAGCTGCCCCCATGCTGGAATCCCTAACTGAAGATCACAGATCCATCACAGCGGTCAACAACTCCACTGGATCTTCTTACCTAACAGGTAACCCTGTGGCAGAGCTAGGGACAACCTCTCCAAAATCTGAGACATGGTCCATCAACATCATACACAATTCCATCTTTTCAGCCTAACTCAGGATTGTTTTGCTTGTCCCTTTCTTAACAGACCAAGAATTAACGACCAAGCCTCTTTCCACAACAGAAGGAACCACGGAAAAACCAACTACCAAGCCTCTTTCCACGACAGAAGGAACCACGGAAAAACCAACTACCAGCCCTCTTTCCACGACAGAAGGAACCACGGAAAAACCAACTACCCACCCTCTTTCCATGACCAACCGTTTCTTGACACAAATGACCACAAAAGGACGACCAAAACAGGACACCTGCCGTGCCACGATTGTACTTGTGCCTGCCGAAGGGATCGTGGGAGGCGCCCTTCGCATCACATGCCGGGCAGAGAACTGCAGCAGAGATGTCAAAATCTGGTGGCTAGAAACCCCAGTGGCCGAATCGCGGTACCGTCTGGAGGAAGCCCAGGGCCGGTCGACCCTGACGGTTGAGAGTGTCCGCTTGGAGCACCAGGGGATCTATCGATGTGCTGCATCTGCCAGCTTACTCCAAGTAGCAAGCGTGCGTGTCGTGGTGTTTGCGGGTGAGTGAGATGAAGTCGCACGTTCAAAATAGATATAGTCCTCAATGTACAACAACAATGCTGTTTAGTGGCTCATGATTGTTTTTCACACTTATGACCGCTGCGGCACCTCCATGGTCCGTCTTGTGATCAAAATTTGGATGCTTGGCAACTGACTCGTATTGTTGACAGTTGCGGTGTCCTGGGGGTCACGTAATCCCCCTTTTGTGACCTTCTGACAAGCAAAGTTAATGGGGAAACCAGATCCAATTAATAACCATGTAACTTACGTAATAACTGCAAGGATTCACTTAACAACAGCGGCAAGAAAGGTCCTAAAACGGAGCAAAACTTGATTAACAGCTGTGTTGCTTAGTAGAAATTTTGGCCTCAATTGCGGTCCTAAGTCAAGGACTCCCTGTATTGGGTTTGAGTCACATTTGAGTCCACCAGGACTAAATCTGGTTGGCTGATTTCGGGCTAATCACCAGGAGACTGTGAGTTCTAGTCCTGCCTTAGGCATGAACACCAGCTGGGTGACTCTCTCTCAGCCCAATCCACCTCACAGGCTTATTGTTGTGGGAAAAATAGGAGGATGAGGAGGAAGAAATTTGCTGCCTTAAGCTATTTATAAAACAAATAAAGGTGAGATTTTAAAAAAACTAAATTAAATAATGTCTTTTAGAAAACATCTTTTGAAAATGCGTTAAAATGGTTAATTGTAAAGTTTTAATGTTAAAAAAAATATTTACAAACAATACTATTTACATTAAAAAAAAAAAGAATGAACATTATGTGGATAAAGACAAGACCAAATTACCATAAATCGTGGAGAAATGTGATATCCAGGCAGCGGTCTTTAATATTTGTAACCGTAATATTTCTATGCCTGGGAGGTTGCTCATCTTAGTCTCTTGCTCACCTACAGACAGAGAAAGGAAGGGTGGAAAATTGTAGCCATAACAATAGCCATAGCACTTACATTTATATACCGCTTCACGGTGCTTTACAGCCCTCTTTAAGCTGTTTACAGAGTCAGCCTATTGCTCCCAACAATCTGGGTCCTCATTTTACTGACCTCGGAAGGATGGAAGGCTGAGTCAGCCTTGAGCCTGTCAGGATTGAACTCCAGACCCTGGGCAGAATTCGCCTGCAACACTGCACTCTAACCCCCTGTGCCACCAGGGCTCTGTGAGGTGGGTTAGTAGAAGATGGATGCTCCTGTCTGATTACGGCACTAAATGCATGGTTTGCGCACTTTTCCTTTTGCAGACACTGTCAAGACAGATGCCCTGTTCACCATCGGAGCCACTGGATCCCTCTTTGGACTGATCATCACTGGCTACATCACTCATCGATGGCGGCAACGGCGGCAATGGTGAACAAGCGAAAGCCTCCCCAAAATGTTTCTGTCCATCTCCTTGGCTATGCCTCCTCTGGTTTCTGGATTTCTGGATAGACCATGAAAACTATTCTCTGGTCTTTAAGGGCTATCAGGCAACCAAGAGGGACTTCGCCGACACGTCGCCGGTATTTTCTGGTCAATGTCACAGAGGTGGAAATGAATAGCCCGTTTCCAAGGCCATTTGCACCATCGGCGACGGGTCAGTAGGTATTTGCTGCAGAACTGGTGGTTGGGATCCTTCTTCAATTTTGATGTGAACTGTAGGTTTGACTGCAACTGTTTATGTCAGACGCAGACAACCAGATCCCCTCGTGGAAAGTCTGAGGCAATAACTCTATTGATGTCTATCTATACTACAAGAATCTTCCCCCAAATGGCTTGCCTTCCCCTGAGGACAGCCAGATGAGGCTCTATGAGACTTAAGGAGGGCTCAACTTAATGTATCTTGTGACTGCGAAGACTCAAGGCTGGGTCCTCGCTTGATCTCTCCTCCCTGCCTGGCTGGGAGTTTCCCAACAGTTTAGGATGGGCCTGCAAGGATGCCAGCCGGATCAGCTGCTACCATTTTGAACGTTGAAGGAAGAATAAATTAAATGAGGGTTTTCTCTCTCTCTCTCTTTTTTTTCCCTGCACACCCTGAACCTACAAGAGCGGGTTCTCAAATATGTACTTTCTGAAAGTGTCAGGGGTTTTTTTTCACATCCCAGCCAGCAGGAAGTTTATTTCAGAGAACGGCTAAATTACTTTGGGGGCTGGTGATTATACTGGGAATTTGGAGAGCTTGATATGGGTGCTCTCGCCACAAATGGCTTTAACAGAATAACAAGAGTTGGAAGGGAATTCGAGTCCAACTTCCTGCTCAAACAGGAGAACTATACCATTTCAGACAAGTGGATGCCCAATCTCTTCTTAAAAACTTCCAGTGTTAGAGTAAATACAACTTCTGGAGGCAAGTTGTTCCACTGATTAATTGTTCTAACTGTCAGGAAATTCCTCCTTAGTTCTAGGTTGCCTAGGGAGCCAAGTTGGAGGAATTAAAGGGGTTTTTTATCTACTTTTGTGACTTTGTTGCTTTTGTGCCACGCTCCGGATCATCACACAGCCTCCTGCTTCAATAAATCTCACTAGGGACCCAGACTTAAAAAAAAAAAAATCACACTCTTCTCCATTTAAGGGGATTGCCAAGAAACTTGAGGCACCATGTGGGATCTTGAACTTCTGACAGAACAACCCATTTCCCCCCCTTCAGCTTTTTCCCCGTGTAAATAGCAACAGCACTTATATACTGCTTTCCCAGTGCTTTCCAGCCCTCTCTAAGCCTTTTACAGAGTCAGCCTTTTCCCCCCAACGATCTGGCTCCTCATTTTACCCACCTCGGAAGGATGGTAGGCTGAGTCAACCTGGAGCCTGGTGGGATTCGAACTGCCAAATTGCAGGCAGCCGGCAGTCAGGAGAAGGAGCCTGCAGTACTGCACTGTGCCACCGGGGGGTGCAATAGATGATTGATTGGGTGCCATTAAGTAGTTGAACTCCCAGGAACCACATTGATTGATTTTCTCCATGACAATCTCTCCCTAACCTGGATTTTCAGGTCCTCCAGTTTTGTCCCCATGGCCACTGTAACTCAGTCCATCCTCCTGGTTGTTGCTGGTCCTTCTCTTTTCCTTCTACCTTTCTCAGCATCCGAACCTTCTGTGGAGAGTTGCGTCTTCCCATAATGTGTTCGAAGTAAAATAATTTAAGCCTGGTCATTGGTGCCTGGAGTGAGAACTTTAGATTGATTTGTTCTTTTGATCTATTTATTCGTTTTCTTGGCTGTCTGTGGTATTTTTTAGCGCAGCCAGTAAAAATATAATAAACAATCCCAATTTCGGATCATTTCCATTTCAGTCTCAGTTATACACACTCCAGTTATACATTTTAATCACTGCCTCTTCCTCTTCTTACGTTAACAATTGTGCATGTTTTCTTAAGCTGTAATGCGATCATTGCAAAAATTAAGAGTTTTATGAACCAATGAAATTGGGTGCTTAAAAAGTTAAGATTAGGAAGTTTTGTTTCAAGCCCATCTTAAGCCACCAAAATTCCCTGGGCAATTCCCTTCTCTCCCTCTCTTCGCAGGATTATTGTTCTAGGAAAAAATGAAAGGACAGAATGCTAGGGATACAGGTAGCCCCCCATTTACGACCAGAATTGAGGCCAGAATTGCAGTCATAAGTCGAAGCATCATGTGACTGGATTGAAAGTTACAATTGGCTTCTTTATAACGGTCATCAAGTGAATGCGCCAGTGTTAAGCGAATGGCAGTTGTTCAGCAAATCCATTTTTTTTCAAAGGTTTGCTTTTTTTTTTTTTTGGCTGTAAAACAGGAAATCGCCCTCAGAAACCAGCAAAAAATATCCCAAGTCACAGTCATGGGATTGCAGAAGACAGAAAAAAGCCAAAAAGATGAGTTACTTGCCAAGCCCCCAAAATGCAATCACTTGATTGCAGGGTGTGGTGAATGTGTGTGTGTGTGTCTGTGCATGTGTACAAGGATGCTGTCCAATGCAGAAAAATCAGGAGTCCAGGCAGTTGAAATGAAATATATAGGTTGTTAGGGATACACCCTAGCAGAATCTGCACGGCAGTCAGGCAAAATATGTGAGATAAACGTTTTTGTAGCTTACACTCAGTAAAACAGATACACCGTGCTAGTTAAATAGTTTATTCCAGTAAGAGTTTTAGCATAGTCAAAAACAGTCCATATATCATTCACTAATTCAGTCCGTCCGGGGATTATTCAGTTGCAAAGTCCAGTGTCGAAAAAGAGGTCAGTAAACTTACAAATATCAGTCCAGTAATATATCTCCTCACAGTAGAGATATGAAGAAGTCAAACCTCCTTTCTTCCTTCGACGTCCAAAAAACTCAGCAGTAGGGAAACACGCAGTTAGCAAATCATCAATCCAGTAAACCAGCAATCGTCAGCAATCCAGCAGGTTCTCTTGCTCCCTCTTATGGCGGTGTACAACCGCACCCAAAATTACATGCTTTGCAGTTTAAAGTGACACACACTTAAACTTACTATCATAGTTTATATATATTATTTTACCCAAACTACGTTAGGTAACCTGTGTTATTCCTAACATTGGTTTACTATATGCTAAAGCTCTCTACAAGAATCTGAACTACTAACAATCAAAACAAATTGGTAGTAGAGAAGAGTCAACAGAATTCAAGCTGTTGGGCTGAACCTTGGTCTCTTGTGGGTACAAAGGGATTCAAGACCTATGACATACTTGACCCCTCCCTCGGGTTCAGCCTGGTCACCTCTACATATGTATGGCCATCGTAACGCCAAAAAATGGATCACAAGTAGCTCTGGAAAGGTCTGTCTTAACTTTGAGCAGTTCTTAAGCGACCGGTTGTTAAATCAAGGACTACCTATACTGCCTTGAGCTCCTTTATAGGGAAACGGGGCGTCTCTGGACATCCCTTTAACACATAAAGTTGATCACACACTTTTGGGGGGATACCTGGACCTGCATCTCCAGGTTGTTTTAGGATAGTTTTCCTTGTCTTCAATTGAGCTGCTTGCTTGCAGGCAAATCAAGTCTTTTTTTTGTGTGTGCAACATGCAGTTAATATATGGACTTTGTTATCAGGAGGTGTAGATTTCTGAAGCCACGGAAGGCTGACCTTTCAGTAACAGAATCTGGACTGAATGATGGCTAATTCTGAAGGCCCTTGAAGGCAACAGCTTGGCCCTCCGAACACGCCTGGTTTTCACTCAGACGTGAGAAAATCTTTTGGAGACCAGACAGTAAAGCCTGTCGTATCTTGGGTACCCCAAATGCTGATGACCACCAGACGACAGCAAAGACTTCAACGTTAAAAAGTTTCCTCATCCCTTGGTGTTTCCATTAAATTGCATGTGGACAATTTAGAATTTGCAGGATGGATTCCAAAATTAAAAAAAAAACCCAACGCCAAAAGATGCCATGACTAAAATCGCCTGTAAATATTTACAACTACAGGAAGATATGACCCCAGTCAGTCGGGCAAGTTCTAACTAGCGGGGAAGGTGAGTCACAAAGAAGCGAGGAAAAAGCCCTTTCTCTTTTATCCTGGCAATCTTATAGCCCTTTTTCCCCACTCCTCCATCCTGGTTCGGGAATAATTAGCAAGGGGAAATCAATGTTTGCCTTTGCCCTCAGTGGAAAGGAAGAGAGTAAGCAAACACACAATGAGGAACCAGACGTGGAAAGGAATGCCTTGGCACTAGCAAGCCACTGGCCTGGCCCTTTAAGATGCAAAAGGAAGCCTTTGAATGAGCCCCTGGGTGCTAATTAACTAATCAAAGTTGCAGAACTGAGCAAAGCAAATTGAAAAGAAAAGTCGAAGAAAATTGAAGAGAGACCTTGTCCAATCTCTTCCCGTCTGCAAGGGATAAAATTTTGAGAAAAGGGAAAAAGGTGTTCCATGCATACATGAAGAGGTCAACCGGACACATTATTTCTCATGTTGATTTCACAGGAATCTTCCCAGTCTGGCAGTTTGCACCTGCGACTTTCAGACCATCTGTCCATTCAGGCATAATGGAGAAGAGCTGTAATTTGTCCCTATACAAAAAAATAGGCAAACAGACAACAACTCGCAATATATATATATATATATATTTAATGGAAGCTACATACATTTCAGTGTAGAGTTCCTTTCTTGTAAAATAGGGCTATCTGTCACGGGTTACCCTTGATGCTTCTTTTTAAAAAAATGCTAAACTAAGTGCATATATATCACACCCATCATACCAAATTTTAATTATTAGCTTCAATACCCAATGCGGACCCAAGTTTCTTCCCCAAATAGGTGGAATTCAACAGTCTCTAAGCCGGATGGTAGGTTCATTTTACCATGGTTAGGCAAGCTACCAAAATGTCTAGGGAGATTCTCAGAAAAAGCGTATTTGGGACAAGCTACAAAAACCTAGGTTGAGCGAGACCAAGGCTG